AACAGATAGGCAGCTGAGAATCAAGATTTTTCAGTGTAGTCAGTAAATACGTATTTCCCCCACCCACATCTGGAATAATATGAATTTTGGATTCAGAACTGCATTCTTTACTTGCCTAAGACTCCCAGTAAAGTGTCTTTCGCTCAAAGAATGCAGGATCTAGTGTCTCAGCTGTATGACTTCCGCATGTAGTTGGAAATATTCACTGCATACAAAATCAAACTGGTTTTAGTTGCAAGCAGTGTCTTCTTCTTAAATAAAGCACTTTCCCTTCACTTGCCCCTGCACATACTTAAAAAAAAATAATCTCCGTTTCAGTCAGAACATAAGAACAGATCCAGGAATCTGGAGATTTTGGATCAAACTTAACTTGACCTCTGCAGCTATAAGTCCAGTGGGTTTAGTAAAGTTCCTAAAAGAGAAATGTGCTTTTATTTCAAGATAGTCTCTCATGCTGCAGATCTGTGAAGGTTTCCTATCAAACAGAACACCTTGAGATTTTTGGTTGGTTGGTTGGTTTTTCTTTCAGGGAGCAAGGGCTGAGGAGCTCTAGGACTTCAAACTAGAGATTACTCCCTATATAATATAATAATAATAATGCCCAGTGTAGAGTCCAAGTTAGTAAAAAATGTTATGGGCTGCAAGTTAGTGCAGAAATGCATCCAGCCACTTTTGCTAAAAAACATCTGTTCTAGACGCAGGATTTTATATTTGTCTTCACTGAACTTCAAGAAGCAAGCATCTACTGTTCCACTTCTCTAGCCTGTTGAAGTTTCCCTAAATGCTAGTATGTGGGCAGGAACATGTGAGGAGGCCCTAGGAACAGCCCCTGCCATAATGCTATCCTGCATCCACTTTCCCATTATCTACCACTACACCTCTGCCAGCACATCTCTTCCAGCTCTTCTGGTTTTCTTCCAGCTTAGGCCTGATGAGACTGCTTCTCCATCCTTCAATAAACTAGTTTAGAGCCCTTCTTATGAGGCTGGCAAGCCTATTGGCAAAGACATTAATGCCCCGGTTTGTTAGGTGAGTCCTTTCTTTACCAAACAGTCATAAATCCTCAGAAAAAGTCCTATCATCATAAAAGCCAGGAGGAACCTGAAAGTGTCTGAAACTATACCTTGACATCAGTAGCACTTGAGTGTCTACGCTGATCTTTAGCCAGTGTCCCTCGTAACAGGTTGCAATCCAGAGGTTAGCAAGTGAAGCATTGCTGCTCTGGGTAATCAGTTAATTTTTCAGCTCATACTCACTCATCTGTTCCCTCCTCCTGCAATGTAAATGAACTGAATGTGATCAAAAGGTCATTTAAATACCCTTTTATGTTCATACTTTTCACATTAATCTCATGTTAGCTGTCAATCAAATGTAGATTCTATTCATTAAGTACAACTAACAGCATCTTCATTCACTTATTCCTTTTATACCAGTTCTTGTAGCAACTCTAGCCTATTTGCTTTTCTTTGCATTAAATTACATTATCCCAGGCATCCCTCTACCTCTTGTTTTCCGTTATCTGTAGTTCTGCAAATCGCTTCTATTTTTTATTCTAGCAAATCTCTTATTATTACCAGATCATGATCTGCTCTTCTTCACTTGTCCAAAGACCAGTTGCTGTATCAGCAGTGTCAGTAATGAAGCCTTGTTTTGTATCAGCTATGTCCTCCCTTCTTATCACAATAACCCCAGCTTCCCCTATAGTCCCCCTTTACAATACCTTCAACTGTCTCCCACGTCCTACAATACACCAATGTCCCCTTCCGATATTTAGTCCTCCCTGTAACACATCCCGTTCCTGCTCCTGTATTTCCTAAATTCCCACAGTGAGTCATGTCCCAAATACTCATAGCTCCCCCATATCTCTTGCTTGACTAAGATAAGACATAAAAGTATTGATAACATGTACCGTAACCTGTCGTGTAATGAGCTGGCCAGTGCTCATGGCCAGCCACTGTTCTATGGAAAAATATATGCACGGGATTGTTTCTTCTTTCCTTCATTTGGAAGCTAAAAGAGTCTCTCTTCTCCCAAACTATTCTTTTTCAGGAATGGTGTGGGAATATCATATCTCTGAATCCTCTCATTCGCTACTAAATTTGATTGAAGTTAGGCAGTGGATTAACAGACAGTGGGTGAGAGGCCAAGAGGCCTGGGCAGTGCAGTGGTGTAAGCAAATACATTTGTAGAGCTGACTGTGCTTCCTCTTTCTGCTAGCGTCACTCAGCTGTCATTATGTGATTTATTTTTTTTTTTTCCTCAAAGGGACAACTGTACTGCTGAGAGGTTAATCAGAAACTCTCTTTAGTAAAGGCAAGGCCACAGAAGATTGATAAAGTGCTGGCTTCAGCCCAAACATAAGCAGTAGTGAAAACGAGTTTCTGGGAGGCACCAGGTCAGTGACATCCACAAAACTTGTGCAGTACATGGACAGGCAGAAAAATCACAGCTTATTGCTTCAGCTTTCTAGTCCTCAACAGAACATCTCCCTCCAACATCACTATTAAGATTTGTAGGGACAATGCGTGGTAACTGTTACCACTTCAGCTAAGGTGCTGTTAATTTCTCACTTCCCCACATCCTGGAAACAGTATATTCAGGCACATCATAAACCCAAAGAACACACCCGCATATTACTGCTAGGCTAGTAGGCATTGGTTAGATACAGCTTCAGCTCCACTAAAAATGCATTTGTTTTCAATTGCTAAGAGGACTATCAAATGCTAACTTATATAATCACATTGGACTTCCCTGTCGACAGAAATATTCTTTCTAGTGTTTGCTTGCTGAAGATTTTTGTGAAATACCTAATGAATTGATTTGGAAGAGATTCAGACTCAAAACTGTGCTTTGCATTTTTAAGAAGACACTTGATACCAAAAGGTTATCTCATATTTGATCTATAACTCTATGGAATCAAATTTTTATGGAAGTGTCTTACTTGTCAGTGCCAGCAGACTAGGAAGAGGTGACCACTTATGTAATTAGTCTCCTGATATTCAGATGAAATATGTATAGTAAGAACAACTGCCAGCAGCCTCATCCTAAAACTTCTCCTGGATCCAACTGAATTTGAACTTCTGTGTCATGTCCAGCCTTTGGTCTCCACAGAGCTATGCAGACCAAATGAAAATACTGTGTGAAAGACAGTGAAGGCAAACACAGCACGAAATGGGTGAAAACAGTGATAAAATACTTCCAAAAAGATTTTATCTCCCAGGAGGGGAAGTCACAGAGGAGCCAAACACAGAAACTGGCCTCATTTTCATGAGGCCTCATTTCCAGCACACACGCAGCATCCTCTCTATCACATCCAGCCTATTTATTAGTTTTTGCTATCCCTACTCCCTTTAAAAATGAAAGTGAGCATCTTTATATGCACATAAACAGGTGGCTCCCTTAGATCTAGTCTACAAGCACAGACTGATCTGCGAAGGCACCAGGTTGGCTTGGCTTCTGCCACAGGACCCAGTGACAGGATTTGGCTTTCAAAAGGCACCAGGTTTTTATTTAAGCAGGAAAAGCCTGCTGCCCATTCCTTGCCTCAGAGAAGCCACCCCTCCTGTGCACCCCACAGGTTAATGCCCAACAGGGTACTCTGTTAGTGCCAGTGCCCAGGGGGGTCCGCACTGCATAGAGGGAAGGAGGGGGCTGTGTAAAGTGAGGGCTTTAGAGCAAGACTGTCCAGTCTCCCCTGGACTGCAGAATGTTCCAGGACCTGAAGGGGCTACAGGAAAGCTGGGGAGGGACTGGTTACAAGGGCATGTGGCGAGAGGACAAGGGGAATGGATTAAAACTGGGAGACGGGAGATTTAGATTAGATATTGGGAGGAAATTCTTCATCGTGGCAGGTTGTGAGACCCTGGAACAGGCTGCCCAGAGAAGCTGTGGATGCCCCATCCCTGGAATTGTGCGAGACCAGGTTGGATGGAGCCCGGAGCAACCCGGTTTAGTGGAGACGTCCCTGCCCATGCAGGGGGGGTTAGAACTGGGTAACCTTGGAGGTCCCTTCTTCTGGCAGCCCTAAGCAACACCTTCTAGTTTTGGGGAGACACCAACGAGCACCACTCGGGTCAGTCACAGCCCCCCTGTGGGACAGACGCATTCCAGTAGAATACTGAGGGAAAACAGCC